CTTTCCCCCAGAAAATTGGCAAAAAAATAAAAGAAAGCCAAACGACATGTGCAGGATTTGAACCTACGAGGCCGAAACCATAAGATAACCGAATTATTCATTCAAGTCTTACCCATTAACCACTCTGGCAACATGCCCGATTATATGAAACGTGTTTCCTTTATTTGACAATAGGGAATCTTAACTTGCTCTACGTTTATCCGTGTGGAGAGAAATCTTTGGAACTACATCTACTTTTTTGAAAGTCATCTAGTGCCTGGCTTGCTATTGTCTATTGTCATAAACGGACCTCTCAGGGTGCTATTATCAGAGGGAAAGTCGGCATAAAGACCTGAACGCCGAATCCAATAAATACTAGTCTACATGTAATATGATATATCTTCAACAGCTACCAAGCAACCATACGTACTTGGAGGATTTAAGTTCATCATAGATTCATAAGTGAATAATAGGAGCACAATATTCGATTTAATCTGATCCACCTCACGGTTCCGCTGTAGTGGAGTATTCCCACATAAGGGAGGGTCTTCAGCTCCGGTATACCACCAATCATTGACCTTTTATCCACTTTCCCAAGGGGACCAAAATGACAGTCGGCCAAGATACTAGCAGCACGCTGTGACTCCGTGAGACCTAATAGTGTGTGTGTAGAAGCCTAGGAGGAGGCCAAAAGTCCGCCGGTACGCACAATCCCGGTGGCAACATCTGTAACGGCAAAAAGATATGTGACAGGGCCTAATCCGGGATTGAACCGGAGACCTCTTACATTTTAGATTGAACAACCCAAAGCAAGAATTCTACCACTGAACTATCAGGCCTGTGATTTTATATGTTAGAGTGTGCTTCATTTGGGGTTATGGAGTAAGTCATTCAAAAAAACTCTGCGTTAAGTGGAGTAGTGAGTTAAACTTTTCTGATATTCGTTAAGTGGTAGGTCTCAGACTCCCTAATTTATTTACCCCACGATCCCCACCACATCAAAGCTCCGCTAGATGAAAATCTTCATGATTTGTATCCTTCCGAATTCGACCAATTCGGAAATGTCTACGGTGCACCTCGCCTGCACCATGTTGACTATCGACGTGATGGGGAGTTGCAACAGATGTGATAGCAGACTACCTTGTTTCTCGCACTGGCAATGGTACCGCCAGGGACTTATTTGCCTTGGGTGGAAAGGGGTATACAATGTCACCAAACAAATTCAGATAATTTTACTTCCAGGGGATCATTTGAGAATAAGGTATTTGGTAATTCAAAATACGCAGGAGAATCTATGAAAGAAGTTTACAAGAGATAGTTGGAGATTAGCAGAATAGCTTATGATGACACTCCAACACAATACGCTTGCTTCATCCACCCAGAGATTCAGGCAATTTAAGACCACAGTAGGATCCCAAGCAAAGAATTGAGCATTGAGTAAATGTGATTCCGAATTTAGCCTCTATAGCATCACAACTTCCCCTGTTAGCAAGTCCAAAACATTGGAAACTACCTAATAATCTTACTACCATTTTGATACTGCTATTCAAATTTCCATCACTCTTTTGTTAAAATCCGTGGCCGTGAAGTCATACTCCAAGGAAATCACGCGGGCATCCATACGAAGTTGGGCGAACGCAAGAGCCGCTCTTCACGAGCAGCCAAGATGACGGCAGCATCACTGCGAACACTGTGTATTAAGAGAAAGTGGGTTTTCAATATGTGTTGCAGGAATCAGTAGCTTAGGTCCATAATCATACAATATCAATATAAATAAATATGAACATTTTATTCTTCTAGAATTAAACTCGCTATGCATTCGAATATATTATCCAACTAACTAATAATACTACTACAATCATTTGTCATTTGTATTATTTGTTTGCTGCTGATTTATCTGTATCAGGTGATACCTATCAGAATAATGGCTCTGTCCTTACTCTTATTACATTCCAAAATGATCGCGAGGGAGTTTGATTAACAGTTCCATCTGAACTTCTGTGACGGTAACAAGTCAGATAAAATACATGGCATCCTATTAAGACATTCAAATGGGTGGATGGATGTCACGTGTGATTACCCCAGAGGGGTTGGAGACATCGCTTGGAATCAGATCTTACTTCTGCGACAAGGTTCGTCTCATATCAACACCATCACATCAATTTCCCCAATCATGACATATTGCGCGATTTCAATGCCTAGGTTTCATGAGACTGTCAAAGGAATATCATGCTTCCAATGTACCAGCTTTGGGACGAGGCCATTGACTTTAGGCGATGTCATCAATGATCATTCATCTCATCTCTTCAGATATGTAAATTCGGATCCCAGATGGCTGTCAGAGAGGTCATTGAAGGACCCTGTATCATTATTTGAGACTGTTGGTGCAATATCTAGGTATTAAAAGAGCTATCTAACATGCAGGAACCAGATTGATTTGATATACTCCAACCAATCCGGAGGATGACCGATAATTCATCTGGACTTCAGTCACATATACAATGTACTATGATGAATGTGGTTCATTACGCGCTTGTTTTATTGAGCAGGATTCTTCAGATGATATTTGGATCATTGACCCCGTTCCCCTTACCGTATGATCTACGGAACCTAAAAGAATTCACAAGTGTGGAAACTCCATGTGATAGAGGCAGATTATACGACCTGGTAGTCGCCTGCCAGGCTGATACAGACTTGATTATTGATAGGGGCGTTAATGGTTCAAGATATAAAAAGGTCTAGAAATTTGTCAAGTCCATTTTCTCATCGCATTTGCAACCTTCCTTTCAGCTACATCTACATTCTCTTCTTGTTCAGTTCTGAGAACTTCAACTTTATACACTCTTTAAATTCTACCTCTCGAAATAAATTTCAATTTCAACTTAGGCCGGTCCTTCTTTATACACTAATTTTAGTCAATTACCATCTATTTTCAAGTTTTAAAACTTTACTGTTATCAACTTCAATCATCAGCATCATCATAATGAAGTACGAAGCCGCAACTCTCCTTGTCGTCGTTCTCGGCTTGGTATCTACCGCACCTGTCGCAGAACCAAAGAACAAATTCAGTCTCCCACCGATACCAAAGCGAATGTTAAGAGGTCGTGAAGTTCCTCAAGAACATTCCCACAATCGATTCCTCGATGGTGTTCGTGTTAACCTGAACATTAACAATCCCAACAAAATCGAAGATCCAGTCTTCGGTCTTTTGGGTAACGCTGCCGCCGTTGCCGGCGCCGGCACTATTACCAATCCCGATTGTCTTCATCAAGCAACGGCCGATCAAGCTTTCACCAATGCAAAAGCAGCCAATAATGTCACCGGTATGGCCGATGCATTGATGTATGCCGCACTCGAGAGAAACACTGGATCAGTCGGCCTCGCCTCCGTTATTTGCAACGAAACTGCCGTAAACCCCGAAATTCAAGCCGTTCAACAACATCAAGACCCGGCTTCACCAAACGCTGCCGCTACCAATAAAGCTGTCGTTCTATCACTCGCTAAGCAACTTGCGTCTATTGGAGCTGATCCTCAAGAAGCTCTTCTCTCCGGTACATTCGCTCCAGGAACCATCGGCGATCCAACTGCTGCTGGTCATACTTGTGATACTGAGGGAGATTCACCGGGTTGTATCTTTACTCAAAATCTCCTTGTTGATGATGCTACCGCCGATGAGATTACAGCAGCTGTTGCCGGAGTCTCAGCAAGCTCTACTTCGACGGCTACTACCACTTCTACCTCTTCAAGCAACTCAACTTCAGATGCTACCGGTGATGAGTGTGCCGCGGAAGTAACAAGCACAATCACGGCTGTTGCAGCCGTAGCAACCGAGTCATCTTCCACTACATCTATTGCCTCCGTTGCCTCCCCTGTATCTGCTTCTGCCTCTTCTACATCAACCGCGGCAACCGGAACTAATGTGCAAACATTCACCGGTACACTCGGGGGTACACCGCCTCCAGTTGTTTCCTCTGCAGGCGATCGTCCTTTCTCTGTTAATGGCGATACTTTTGTGGGCGAAGGAGCTGCTCTTCAGAGATCTTGTAGTATTCAACATAATGCGTGTGCTGATGCGGCGAATAATGGAAGTTTGGCGGGCGGGGAGGCCCAATGTGAAACCCAGGAGACAGCTTGTAATGCTGCTATCGGGGCAGCAAAGTTGAGAAGAGAGGCTATGATATAGATGAGACTTTGGGCTTGGGTTTGAGGTTATGGCTATGATGATTGTGAGAGAGGAGATAGATCATGGAAGAGTGGATGAAGGAATATCAGTGGCTTGAACGGAGTTGAGATTAGAGAGGCGATGTATGAAAGGGAGAAGATGGATGAATATGAGATGGGATTGTGATGGAGTGAAAGGAAGGCGGGCAATCTATGTGGCGTTCAATATGTAATAATATAGGTATACTGGAGGAATAAACACTTCGTTCAAAATATTTTTGAATAAAGATACCAATTGAATTCTCTATAATGAAAATCATATCTATTGAATGGAAAACGACGATCAAATCAAACGGGACTGCCAGTACAAATCTTTGCAAATGTTCTTGATTTCGTGGATATGGAGAAGGGGTTTCGATATGGTTACTTAGAATCTTCTGCATAAAGTGGGGCATAACATAACCTTACATTCGAATGCACATTCCAGGAACTATGTATCGGTAGTCAAAGTCTTAAGGGCGTCTTGTCTTTTCGTGGGGACTTGATATACATATGGTGAACTTCGAATCTCTTTACGGAATACTGACAATATATGAAAAATTCACAAACGCAAGCCATACCTACTGTATATACATGCATAATAATGTACATAGTCCATCGTGATGCCGTGCCAAGCCGAACAATATCCGACCAAGACTAATACGTCTGGTCCGAACTCCCGTTCCCGATATCGCCCACCTACGGTACTCCACTCTAAGTTCAAATTTTCAGCCAACCCCACCATATTCACCACAATTTCGAATTTGCCACGTCTACATAGGTTCATACAAGTGACCACCTTGCATCAAATAACCAGATCAGGTCGCTTAGCTCAGTTGGTTAGAGCGTGGTGCTAATATCTTCTCTGTTCTTCTTTCGAACATGAGACAGGTCCAAACGCCAAGGTCGCGAGTTCGACCCTCGTAGTGATCAAAATCACCTTTTTGCGGTTCTTTTGCATCAAAAACTACCCAAAATAGTTGTAAAATGTTTGAGTTGTGATGGTTTGAAGTTGGAGTTGCTTGGGTAGTCTGAATGTTTGTCGAGGTGATTACCGACCGCTACATGATTTTGTCCACCTTGATTACTTTTTTGTTTTATTTTGACTATGAGGAAATGGAAATGAGGATTGTTTACACTGTACTGCTTCTTCAGAAACATTTAATATAATTGATCGTTTTTTAAAAAAGTGTGGGTGGAGATCGGACGGGTAGCTATCATGGCTTGGTGGGGTGATGAAGGGGCTGGTTTTAAGGCTAAGCGAACCCTGCCATACTATATATTGCTTGGTTCCCGGCTCTCACGGAAGCATTCAACTAATTAACTCTCTTATCGATAATATTGCAATCGCAAGATGGGTGCCCTTTTGTTACTTCGGCTTCGACGATTTGTGATGGGTGGTTTCACGAGGAGCTATTGTACCTCTCTTGCATCCCAATATCGACATATTACATGTACAGTAGCAGGAGATGGATGTACAGTATACGAACAAATCTGAACGAACAAAACCCATCGGTTTCAAAGCCCCAACTCAAATACAGTATACAATTGGAGAATAAAAACATCGCAGCGACAATTGCCAGTGGTATCTATCTCACTAAAATTACACATCATACACCAACTTTCTAAATCTTTTATGTGTACATATTCTTCATTCAATAATAATGAATTATTTTCCATTGATCAACCATATCACTCACTTATCTCACCCCTCTGAATCCTCCCCTCCCTCCACTCCTCATCATAAGTTTTCCTCGACCCTCCAAATATCCTCCTTCCTCCTCGTCTCCCACTCTTCTCATTCTTATATCTATTTCTACTAACCTCTCGTCCTCCAACACCTCCTAATAACGCCCCACCTAGAGTTCCTAATCCAGGCATTATTAAATCACCAATGGCTCCTCCACCAAATGCTCCGAAGAATGTATTTCTATCTTTATGATTATTTCCATCTCGAGGGCTAGGTATGGATGCTCGTGGATGTAGGGATCGTGAATGTGAACGTGAACCTCCTCGACGACGAGATCGACTCATGGATCTTGTAGACCGGGCTTGACGACAGTGTGAACGAGGTCTGATCTTTGATCGTGATGGTGAACTTGATCTTTCGGATGAGGAAGAGGAGGAGGAGGAAGAGTATCTGGATCTAGATCGTCCACGATGATGATAGCCTGGTATATGATGAGCTAGATATCGTGGATCCGGCGGCTCGGATATTGAACGTCGGGGACGAAGGTGAGGTGGGAGATTTTGATACGATTGAGGTTCTACGGCGGGATATTGATGATGTGCATCGCGGTGATAAGGTTGTTGGGTGGGACTTTGATGATCGTATGGTTGAGGTGGGCCACTACTGGCAGGATTGTATTCCCCAGGTTGTTGCAAAGGTGGGTAATGTGGTTGTTGAGGTGAATAACTCTGTGGATAGATAGCAGATGGCGGGTATTCTGGTCGTTGATTTATTTGAATATCATATTGTGGCTGTTGACGATATGTCGATGTTGGATATCCAGCAGTTGGTTTCAGTATACCTGGACCTGGTACCGTCTGTGGAGAAGGATTGTAATATTCATGAGCTGCCATCGTGTTACTCGAAACTTGATATATTTATGTTGAATATATATATTTTATGGGCAACTCTAGAAGTTCTATAGGGTGAGTTAAATATTAAGTTATTAACTTTCTTTTCAACATCTTCTTCAAGCTTAATGCAGTCAATATTCATCACAAGGCTCGGCGAATAAAATCGACGTCACCATACATGAAGCCAAGAAATCTTACTCTATACCTGAGTAATTCATGTTGCGGGCGAGATTGAAGGGACGTAAAATAAAAGGATGTATAGGTCATTTTCAATCGATGTTTTGGATGCTCGGATATCGTTTGCCGGGAGATAATAAGAACTGGATGTACTGTTGGTGTACTACTGAGGCTAGTTTAGAGGTGAATCGCGGGAAAGTTAAATGATAGATAATAAGTATTGCATTTCGGACTTTAGGAAGAGGTGGTTAAAAATTATTTCAGTAGTCACCCCCATCAAGTGTCTTCTGGACATGACATTAAAATTCTATATTCAATAATTTGATAGTAGAGAGGTAGTGATGAGCCTTTCAAAGTTATCACCAATCTCGAAAGTACATGTAAGCAAGGAGGAGGATCATCACAACCAACCTCATGGAGATCGACGCGGAGAATGTTTCTAGAAGGTAACGAATCCTTGCTCTCGCAGAAGCTGAGCCTTGCGCCTCCACACCGATTCATTGCTTACAAGAACGGACATGTATCTCAGTAGGTTTCGAGCTCCGACAAACTTAACATCCTCCGCATGCAAACTCCAACCTCGTTGTGAGATTACACCTGCCAACATCTCATACAAAATTGGATTTTCGTTAAACTTGCCACCATGATCTTGCATCTTTCTACGACTCCAAAATGACCCTTCCCTCTCCCCCTTACTCTACTTCCCTCCTACCTCCCATCTAATCCCTCTCGCCACTACCTCTCTCCCCTCCTCTCCCCTCCCCCTCCCTCCCTCTTAACATCCTTTCTTTCGTATCCTTCTCGTATCCCGGCCGAGTCGATATAACAATACCCATTCAAGTCTACCTACTATTATACATATAGGTACCTCCTACCTAAGCAAGACATACATACCCAGACAAGCAAGAAATTTCCAGAAATTTCAAGTCATCAGATATCTAAGATTATCATTCATTTGACCTCATAAGATCTTTAAAAGTCAATCAAGGCAATCAAAATGCCAGTAGCCAGTAGCCAGTAGCCAGTAGCCAGGTACCAGAAAACTCAGCATCGGTATCTTCTTAGGATTCCCCTTTGAAAAGAATGTTCAAGTCTCCGAAATTTGTAGTTATTAAAGCTCTATCAGTATTAATATCTATACAGTATTAGTTGTAGTTTAAGTCGTAGTAGTTTCTTATCACCAGGTACATCAGAGGCACCAAAGTGCCCTGATCATCACATCAGTCAGAACTCGCTCCGTTCTACCCCTCGGATGCCATGCCATGAAAGCACTTGTCAAATACCTTCTCCTTCATTATCCTTTTCTTCATCTTCTATCTTCTCCCCATCTTTCATGCCGATTTTGACTCTCTAATCTCCGATTCCACCTTAACATTACCCTTCCTATCCATCATCTTATTATCCCCCTTCAATGTCTTCCATCTCATGAAATAACAACATACTGGAAACAACAGGGTATTGATTGCAACCCAGGCGAACAAAACACCGAAGTTTAGACCTATCCGCGAGTGAAGATCAAAGAGAAGCTGTCTACTGGCCTCCACAACTATTGCTTCGTTAGCTCTGGTTGACAGTCGGGATTAGAGATTCAGAAGAGATAAGTGTTTCCAACAGTCCAGATTATCGTCCGATAATGAGAAATGCTTGGTGATTTGAATTGATTTCATACATTGAAACCAATTTAAAAGATGCAAACCTTTTCGAATAATGAATGATTTTATATCTAATCCGCTAACCCGGACTGTTGAACACTTGAGAAGAGATAGAAAGAGACTTACTATTATGTAGTGGCCATGCATATCCCCAATAATAAAACTTTGATGCCAGATCAATTGAATAGAAACTTGTAGACACATTCGTAATGACCCAAAAGATTAACCACAATGCTGTCCATGGCTGTCCTATGATCATAGTAACATTTTCACAAGCCAAACCCATCGCTGCCATTCCCACCCAATTGAGCATCCAGTACACAACAAAAGTGCCCCTTCCATATGCTGTAGCAGGAGTCTCAACCATAGTTACAGTCTTGTGCCCCGATGAGAATGGAAATTGGAATGCAAGGGATATGAGAGAATAAGAAAGTGACAGGAAGAAATAAGTGGCTATAGCCGCTAACCATCGCCAAATAATGAGTTGATAGAAGTGCATGGGACGGTGTCCTTGAGGTATAATGTACTTCATGTGAATAGGGAAATAGAATGAGAATGAGAAGAAAGAAATAATGATTAGGTAAATGAGACCAATGCTGACAGCGGGTGTAGCGATGGGTGGGTAAAAGGGCCTTAGATTGAATGTTGAAAAGCCAATAGCTGGTGAGATTGCCTGAGGAGTATTACGTATATTCGTCATTATCGATATATTTGTAGCCGCTTGATCGAGGACTTGTGAAGCCCATTGTTGACCAAACATGCTAATGACGGTTGATTGAAATTGGAGTAATTGTGGTGTGATGTAATTGGCGTGGGCGGAATCGTCTCGAGCTTGTACGTAGATTATTTGTGCGATACCGAGGGGATCAAAAGTGGTATTTCCATTCTGTACCGCATCTTGGAGGAGAGCTGTCGCATTTGCGTTGATTATCACTGCCTGAATACTATCGTTAGTATGGAATGGGTTTTCTTTTGCCTAGCTAAGATACATTGGAATTTTGCGTCCGGTCGAAGCTGCCCGAATTCGGATTATGAAGAGGGGAAAGTAACTCACTGCCCATGCTTTGAAATCGTATATTGCCCGTCTCACTTCCATTGGATCATAGTTGAAGTGGCTCGCAGGTAAACTGCCCCATCCTAAAGAGCCACTTGGGGCAACCAAAGCCCCGGCGGCGCTCACAATCTGCGGACCAACAACAGGTGTCGTGTTTGTGTAAGGTGCAACTTGCCCATCAAAATCTACCACCCAAACAACCAAAGATGACATATTTTGATTGACGTGAAAGAGTACACCCCAGTAGATAGAAAGGATTGAAAGTATGGCGGCTGAGAGGATGATGGCTGAGATTGTCAGATGTTAGCAAGAGTATGTGAATCTGCTGCTTAGCGCAACGAAACTGAAGTTGGGCATAGCAGTTTATCCGGGAAATAAACATTCCAAAAGAACTTTGTCCTCCCATTCCACTCGTTCCTCTGAATAGATCGCCCTGCCTTGCCTGCCATCCATCCATGGCAAAGATT